TTGAAGAGCTTTGCTCTCATTCTTCGCCACGTAGCAGGAGCAAGATGGGGCCCATCAGAATCATCGCTACTTCAATTATATTATGCTCTATTTGTGGGATACATTCGATACAGCATGCCGGTGCTTTCCAATATGAGACCTAGTTGTGTGAAGACACTCGAGAGTGTTCAAGCTCAATGCTTACGAAGATGCTTGGGTCTACCACGCTGCACTTCAACAAATGGGACAATCGCAGAAGCTCGGGCTTGTCCCATCAGTGTATACATGCTCTGCGAGCCACTTAGAGTTCACCTACGATTACTGAGCAGACAAAGACAGCACGCACTGTCAGTACTACCCGCCACTCACCCAGATTGCAGTTTCTCAAAAGTAATATTGCGGCATGAAAATATTATACCATCAAGGTTTTCTCCGCCAAATGCCCCTGCAGTGCCACCATGGGTTCTGCCTAAACCACCTATCTCTTTTACGATACCTGGAATTATGAAGAAGTCGCTCATTTCTTCTGTTGGCCTCAGACAACTGACCCTATATCACATTTATACAGCGTACAGTGATTCTCTGCACGTGTACACTGACGGCTCCACCACACTAAACACCTCCGCCGCAGCCTTTGTCATCCCTGACATGGATATCGCTCGACGATTCAAAGTGGACCATAAAACCACATCAACTGCCGCACAGCTTGTCGCTAAGGTTTATTTCCGGAGAGCGACCTCGAGCCTGGACGATTTTCTGTGATGCCAAACCCGCTTTGCAAACCATTAATTGCATCATGAAGCAAGGTCCATATTACAGCTTGGCAATAGAAATCACAGAACTTATTCAGGTTGCTTCAACAAATGGCCATCTTATAACTTTCCAGTGGATTCCCGCTCATTGCGGCGTGATGCGAAACGAAGAGGCAGACGCTCAAGCTAAAAATGCCTTAAGTAGTGCCCCTGAAGTACGCATTGCGTTTTCACGAGCTGACACGAACGCCCTGCTTCGCTGCGTGATGCGCAGCTACACACTTCAGCACTGGACCAAACCGGAACGGCGACACCAGCGACTTCACAAATGGGACCCGGAAATGAGGTTCCACATGCCTCCTAAAGTGAAACAGCAACTCACAAGTATGATCCACCGCATTCGTTTTGGTGTAGCGTACACTAGACGTTACGCACATATCATCGGTCGCAGTGACACCGGTCCTAATTGTGAACACTGTGGTGTGCCAGAAACACTTGAGCACATATTTTGTGTCTACCCAGCATACGCACGTGAACGACAAACACTGATTTCTTCTATTGAACAATATCGCAGTAGGTCATTAACTGATGAGACCATGTTGGGCCCTTGGCCAGACACCATCAGTGCAACTGCGGTCACAAGAGCAGTTATTACCTTTTTAGAAACAACTGGACTATGTGCGCGGCTCTAAAATGTGTCTCAGCTAGAAAGAACACTACATACTCACCTCTCTATCTCACCATCGTCATCCATTAATCTTTCTTTTCCCCTTTCCCTTCCCCCAGTGTAGAGTAGCAGGCTAGAGCAAACTATCGCTCAGGCCGACCTCCCTGCCTTTCTGTAAATAAACATACTTCCTTCCTTCCTAAGACATGTTACACACTACTACGAGGGACGAACGGGTGCCGCTTTAAGAAGCTTCGCCCCTAAAAAAACCACCTGCGTCGTCCATCTATCTGTCCGCCCTTTATACTACAGTCGGTAAACTTATGGACCTCAAGTCGTATACGTTATGAATCTCAAGACCTAGCTTAGCCCACTCGACATCATTCTCTTCGTGGAGATGCATAGATTTTTTTCTCTTTTTTTACAGCTATGCTGTTTACCTCTAACTCGTGCATTCTTGGGAGGAGTTGTCCTGAATAGCTCGCGTCCGTATGTAGACAAATAACATAGCCAAAAAAGGCGTCATCTCCCCCTATACGGGTAACCATGGTGAGATGCGAAAGCGTCGCGGAAGGTGCGCATCGAGTTTCCATTTCTCTTATGGGACTTATGAGAGGGTGGTTGTCGAGGTGTTCGAATCACCGCTTGCCGACGCTGACGTTTACGTTCGGCTTCATGAGTCCTCCTCTGCTCTGCGGCGGTAGTGCTGCCGCTGCAACTAGCGCCGACGTTGAACGTCCATGGCGCTTCGCACCCTTGCACAGAGAGAGAACGGCGGGAGAACAGTGAGCGCGCGCTTTCGCAGCCTTGCAGGTTCGAGATTTGCTTGCCGGCGTTGCCGTTTACGTGCCGCTTCGCGAGCGTCGATAGCGCCGTTGCGAAGGAGAATGCAACGCTTGCCGGCGTTGGCGTTTGCGTTCAGCTTCGCGAGGAGAAGCGAAGCGGAGGCAGCAGTCACTGCCACCCATACCACTCCACCTCCTCCCAGCTCGGAAAGGGGGAAGAGTTGGCGCATGCGTATTCTGGGTGTGGGCGCCACAATACGGACACTGTTTAAGATGCTTTCGCATCTAAAATGGCGACGACACAGCTGGCGGCACGTGGCTGGCGGAGTTCCTTGATGCGCTCACGCGGCAAAGCTTGCCTCGACGATGTTTGAAAGCGCTATGCGAGATACCTTAGAAGGCGAGACGCTGACACGTCGCAGTGACTTCACGCCGGAGAAGAAAAGAAAGCGAACAACGTGGAGAGGTGTCGACAGAAGCAACGCTAATGCAGGCAGCCAAAGCGAGAAGGTGGCCCCGCCGCGGTGGTCCAGTGGCTAAGGTACTCGGCTGCTGACCCGCAGGGCGCGGGTTCGAATCCCGGCTGCGGCGGCTGCATTTCCGATGGAGGCGGAAATGTTGTAGGCCCGTGTGCTCAGATTTGGGTGCACGTTAAAGAACCCCAGGTGGTCTAAATTTCCGGAGCCCTCCACTACGGCGTCTCTCATAATCATATAGTGGTTTTGGGACGTTAAACCCCACATATCAATCAATCAATCAAAGCGAGAAGGTGCAATAGTGGAAAATTCATCGAAAGATTACGTCTTCCGAGGAAGAACAGTGCCGTCTATTGTCTTGAACCATACACTGTAAATTTTTTTGTCAAAATGACGGTGCATATAGCGGCAGCTCTATTTCCAAGCCTATGGTCGTCAAAATGACGACATGCCGTAATTTTCAAATGACGGCACAATTTTATCATTTTGATGTGTTTCTCGTCATTTCAAATTAAAGCAGACCGTCAAATTGGCAACATTTACATTAAAATAATGACACACCGTCATTTTCAAATTACGGCACAATTTTATCATTTTGATGTGTTTCCCGTCATTTCAAAATACAAGCGAACCGTCAAGTTAATAACATTTGCGTCAAAATAACCAAAGGTCAACATTTGCAAATGACGGTATATATTTTTCAATCATATTGACGTTTTTAGTGAACTTCATACACAACTGAGTTGCCCGATTGACAACCTTTGACCGGCAAAAGTTGGGAATTTTAGATTAAAGTAATTACTAATTCGTGTCATTTAACGTCTGTTCGTCAATTAAAGCTATTATTAGGACATCAATGTAGCATTTTCTTTGTAAGGTGACAGCAGGCTCTCAACAAGCGGACAGTCAAGTGCGCTGGTAAACCGTCTACACACAGACGTGGCGGCCCTGCATTTTTTTTTTCGTTTTATGACTTTTACAGCGTATCATATAACAGCAGCACTTTTTGTATTGTCTAAGAGTAATCTTCTAATACGAATGAAATCCTCTTTCGATGGCCGAACTGTGGAGTGTCGTGCAACGTATTTGATGTGAAGGAAGCTGAGGTTTTAGGAGAAGCTTAGCTGGTATGGTTTTTGAAACAGCTTAAAAAGGAAAGCATTTGCCGAGCTGAAATTCGCAAAAAGCGTCTCTAGTAACGTAGGTTAAATCATTCGAACTCTCCAGCAAGGCTAAATCGAAACGATCTCAACATTATACAATCCTAATAATGTTTCGGGCGAAAAGGTGCATCTTTTTGTCCGAAGCTTGCCATATGGAAGGAATTTAATGTGTATCTCGTGAAGCTTTTAATATAACGCTACAGAACCTCACGAGAGACAGTAACAATTTTTTGATGGTCTCACTCGCAATGCACATTTGATTCACTTTGCGCCTGTTTTGAAAGCTTGGATATACAATTCGAACAAGAAGTTTATTTTACAGAATTTACGACAACTGCCTTGAGACGTCATTCTGGGGTGGCGGCTCGAAAGTCTCTGCCCCTGGTCTCCGAATTTCCACCGCGCCGGCCATCCTCTCACCCTCGTGTTGTTTCTGTTTTGTTTCCGTTTGCACTTTTTTAACGTTACGTGTCCAGTTCAGATGCCTTTCCAGGAAATCCTCACAAGGCCGTCGCACCCTTTCTGCCGTACCTGTGAGGGTTGTGTGGTGTACGGTTACGCCGGCAGGAGGGGAAGACTGCGTGGCTGCGTGCAGGTTGGAAGAGTCTCTCCCATAAGACCTTGTGTATGAAACGGACGTTCGTCCCAACGCTTAGGTGTTTCGTGGGTTTTGTTGGGGACCCCGCATGAGGCTACACGGGAGATCCTTTACAACGTCAGCTTATTTCCCATTTCACGCATATTTCTGTAACTTTTTTTTTCACTAGTTATTCACCTTAATTCAGTTTTAGTTACCTTTAGTTCATCTGAATCCAACTTTAGCGCTAGCTAAACGAACCATCATCTTTCGCAATCATCGCGAGATTGCACATGTAACCTGTTCAGGCTTAGCGCGTGCCCACTTCTTCATGACACCCTCCGCGATTTCTCATTGCAGATCAGGTAGATCTACGATACCCTCGCACTTCGAGCGACAATCTCCCGGACCGCGCACGCGCACCGCTGGAAGCGGCCGGGACAACAACTCCTAGAAGTCTGGATGTCTCGTGGTCCAGACGCGAAGATGAGGAGCATTTGACACGGCGACGCGCCACAGAGCGCCGTGCGGTGGCGGCAGTCGCCGCCCCCTCTGCCGGCGTGGCTTTCTTATCGATCTGTCGGCCTGTCGTGCGCGCGTGCTCGTCTGTCGGCCGTTCAAATAGGCTCGTCAGAGCCCGGCGCAGCTCAGAGTCGGCCCAGGTGCTGATTGAAGGCGACGCGCGCACTGCCCACAGCGGACCACGACGACGCCTCCGGCGGCCTACCGGCAACAGCAGCAGCAGCGGGACCGAAGCAACAGGTAAGCCCGTGCTCGCGCATGTTCGCTCGTCCCTCTGCATGCACGCGTTGCGTGGATCACGTGTTCACACCGCCTCTAACTTACGACGACTGGAGAGATAGAAGGTGGATTTTCTATAGCGTGTAGTACTGGAGAAGTCTGTCCCGAGGCACGGCTTTAGAGAGCTGCTCCAGTAAGACGTACGATGGAGTACGAAGCGACGTCTGAAAACTGGCGCTGCTTAATTTCTCCACGTCATGCGAACTGGCGGCTCTCTTCCGACGTCTGGAGAGGAAGCAATATTCTTTAGTGCAAGTACTGGGCAAGTTTGTCGAGAGACACGCCCTTAAATCCTGCTCTGGATGAACGTCCGATGGAGCGCTCTGAAACTAGCACTACTTAATTTGTTCTTGTCATACGAGCTGTAACGGCTTTCTTTTCTAAGAACTAGAGGCATATAAGCGGGTTCTTCAACGAAAGCACTGGGGAGGCTCAGCCTGTCACGCTCCCTTAGCATACTACTCTGGATGGACATATGAAAGGGCATAGATGGATGTCGTAAAAAGGAATGCTTTGTTGTTTTGGTCATGTCGCATAGGAACAAATGCCCCTGCCTTCCAACGTATACAAAACACAAAGACAGGTTCTTTTAGGTAAATGCTGGAGAGGCTTGCCCTCAGGCATGCCTAGGGCATGCAACTCCCGATAGAAGTATATACAAAGGGGTGTACTCAAGCTAAGCACCCTCTTGTGTTGGTCATACCATATACGAACTAAAGAGTATATGGAAGAGGTTCGTCCAGTGGTACGCCTGTACAAATGTGCTACTTCGGATATGTATTTTGCGAAGTATAAAGTGTATCGTGTAGATCAAACGTAATAATTTTGGTTGTGCCATGCGTACTATATCGTCTCGATGGCGCGAATGCCCATCTTTCTATAGTCAAATATACAGGTAAGAAAGAAACTTGTGTCGTTGCGGCGTTCCTGGTGTGACCACAGGAGTCGTCAGTGACATGGTCGGTATTAAACAACCACAAATACAGTGTGCCCAAGGTTTCATATGCGAAACACGTCACAACATTAAGCGAAGAGATGTTTCTATTTCGTTTGAACTTGTCTTTGATAAAGTTCCATAAGTACTATTTGCTTTCACGAACTGGCGAAGAGAGTATTTTGTTCGAGGAACAGGAACGCCTCTCTAGCTCCAGATGTCACCGTGTTTGATTAATGATGAGTGCTGATCATTAAGAGCCCCCTTGCTAGATTTAATAACCTTCAATTAAGAGATCACGTCGTCCGAGTCTTCACATTACACGATGGCGACTACTCGGTTAAACGAACGTTGTCGTGGGGTGATGACGTTGAATATACTGCGGCCTGTCAAGTTGGCCCTTTCCTTTTATCCGGTGAAGTCTCCCCCTTTTCCGAGCATTAATTATGTATTTTACTTCGAGTCAATTAGTTTGATACCTAACATAAAAATTATGCCAAATCTCGCGCCACTCGCACCATGAACACTGCACCTATCGGACATAACTTAATGGTGAAAGCGGCCAACTGGCTCGGACCATCCTGCGAATGTCGATCGCCTTGCTAAAGAGTTAAATTGGAAACGTGAGTACCAGCGCTGGAAGTGGCAGGAAATAGCGAGTGGCGAAGGGGGACTTGGGTGAGCTGAACGTCGGGAGAAGGATCCGGAAAGACGACAGCGATGGAGGCAATGGACTACTCCCCGGGCTTCGGAAACGGGCAAAGCGGCGGTGGCGAGAGCACGGAGTATACGTAACGTGCGATTAGCCATATCGTTCGGTTGGCAAACTGTGCTTAGGCTACTATAGGTAAAAAAAAAAAAGCCTGATCAAGTAAACAAGCTTTCGCTTGCGTATAAGTATGCCTAGCTGACTTAAGCCGCAGTCAATTTTATTTGTTTATTGTCACTTTGTTTTCGGCAACCTGCGAAGTGTGGTGACAACATTTTGCGTCTCCTTGTCATTTTTTTAATGAGACTCTTAAACGCCACGTTGGTCCAGTGTTTATGTCGCTCGACCGCTGACTCGAAGGTCGCGGGTTCGAATCCCGGCCGCGGCTGCTGCATTTTAATGGCGGCGAACTTGAGGCCCGTGTACGCAGATCTATGTGTACGTTAAAGAACCCTGGTTGTCTACTAATGTGGGGTCTTTCGTAACCGGATTTTTAAACTAAAACGCTTATTATTATCATTGTACCCTTAACTTGCATTTATTTTTGCTTCGTCGACCAGAATCCCGCGTGATCAGGAGGTTGGCTCGCTAGGTCGCTGTTATCAATTGTTTTTTTCTTATCTGCACTTAAGTGCTGTTGAGAGGGGGAGAGGAGATCGAAGGTGCTACGCAAGAAGTTTCCGTGATAAAATATTAATTGTTCTGGAGTGGGCCATAGTTCGCAACACTGGAATTGAAGTTCATATCTTTTTCAACGAACAGCTAAACCTCATTGTGTGACGCCTGTTCCCTTTATCTCTTTTGTATGTTTGACCTATCTGCGAAGCCGAATAAAAAAATAAAAAATAAGGGCTTAGATTAACGATATCTGAGGTATCACGAGCTAAAACCACGATGTGACTCTGAGGCAGCAGGCCTTAGTATAATATAACAAATACAACATTACTTAAGTACATTTAAGAAGCGATTAAATAACAAGTTTTAATGGCATTGAATGGAGTTGAGTTTGTTATTACAGGGCAGATTTAAAAAACTGCCACATTTGTGTTTATGAACTGTGGCAGATTCGCGAGAATTCTGATGGGCTGGGATAATTCATCGAGCTGCGTTATGAAAGAAGCAACCTAAAAAACCTTTGAGGAGAAACGTTGACATATAATAATAATAATAATAATAATAATAATAATAATAATAATAATAATAATAATAATAATAATAATAATAATAATAAAATCACGATATTATTATCGTCCACATACGAGGGCCAGTTCATTGGACGAGTGGCTATAGGAAGAGCAAGCTGCATAGGATCAATTGAACCTGCATAATCACTGTGCTTTTGTTCAGCCCTAACGTGCTGCGTATGACTACAGACGACTATATTGCTGACGTACATAATTACCATGTACGGCTGCTCGGTTGACGCGCCGCGTTTCAAGACCAACGTCAGAGGTTCATCATTTGGTACCAAAGAACACAACCCAAAACACAAAAAAAAAAAGAAATTGCGCTTGCGTTTTGGGCCTCACTATATTTTTATGTAACAACTGAACATCGGTAAGTCATATATATATATATATATATATATATATATATATATATATATATATATATATATATATATATATATATATATATATATATATATATATATATATATAATATATATATATATATATATATATATATATATGATGAATGGGTGACGTGGCCTGGCTCATACGCCATGTTTATCCTCAAGCACTTCTTTTTCATCGGCTTCTACCATCCCTTCATATGTCACATGATTCCCCCTCCCCCCGAAAGAATGCGCGAGTTACAATCAACAAAACAACAAAAAGCATAAAGTGAAGAATGTCAAAATGCGCAGTAGTTCGATTTCAGGAGGGAGTTGCTTAACTCGCACAAAAGCTTCATAGTATAGGGCAGCAGTCCGGTCATATCTAGGGTAGCTCTGGTGGACGAGGCTGGCTGTTGTGCCCTGGATAGCGTAACCCTGCCCTGCACATCTCCACTGATGATGACACGACTTGAGGTCTTGTGAAGAACGAACACGGCTTGAAATCTGTGTAGCTTTGGATTGACGGATGTCTTTGGCATCGGATCGAGCGCCGTCGTGGCAATAGATGCTTTGCTTCTAGTCGACGCGCGTGAGAACCGAGGATGATGGGACGATGTCTTTTAGGGGCGAAGCTCCTTAGGGCGTGGGCTGTGCGTCCCCTGTAGCCTGTATGTAGCCACCTCTAGTTTAGTTCTTGCAGTGTTCACTAGATGGCGGTACCGTCCCCTGTATGTAGCCACCTCTAGTTTAGTTCTTGCAGTGTTCACTAGATGGCGGTACCGTCTCCTATATGTAGCCACCTCTCGTTTAGTTCTTGTAGTGTTTACTAGATGGTGGTACTTGTAGCTGATGATAAAAAGATGCAAGATGTTATAAACTAGAAAGCGGTACTTGTAGTTGATGAAAGACGCGAGATCTTATAAAATAGGAATGATGTCACATATGGCACGTGTCATTGGTTGAAGGCAATCGTTCGATTTAGTGCGGCGACGTACGCTAGGGGGAGCGATGTAATAAAATCGAGTGGGCAAAATGTACAGAGGATTCATGGTTTACCAGGTTTACCTCCGGAGCTTCGCCCACTCATCATCATTCACTTCGTGGATATGGCGGAATTTTTTTTTTCTCCGTTGTATACGTAGTAGCTTCATGTCTCCTTCGTAACTTTCTGTGGCGTTCTCTCAGTTTGTTGGATCGCAGACATGGCTTTGAGAACTGGTGCAGAAAATTTTGTTGACGTTGCTTTCTGCGAAGATGGCTTAGGCATCGACTTTGTCTTTGCTTCTTTAATTGATGTTGTCTCTGATGACCTTTCAGCCACAAGTGTACTCGTGAGGCGGTTTCACTTGATCGTTGTTCTTGTTCGAGTAGCCGTTGCAGTTCTTGGAGTTCGTGGAGTTGCCTTTGTTGAAATTGCTCGTCTTCTTGTGAAAGTTCGTCAGATGGGCTTCTTTCAGAAACATGAGGTAGCTTTTTTTTAGATGGTGATGTGATCAGTCGATTGTCGGTAGTCGATACTGTACTGCTTGGCTTGTCTTGCGATGAAAGCAGCGTGACAGGCTGACGAGAAAGCTCCCAAGATGGTTGTGAGTCATCTTTGAATGTAAATGCTTCTGTCAGTTGACAATGCGCCGGCGTTGGTGGATTCGAAATTCCTGCATTGCTTTGACTCACATGTGTGTTGTCACTTGACAATGAGAGCACAACAGACATGGCTTCAGGTGGTTCTGATGGCGTATGTTTTTCTTTTTGCAGCG